AGTATCGGCCTTTATATGTCCCACTGCAGGGCAGAGGCTTACTCTGTCAATTATTTTTTGATATTATTGCGAAAATTTGTAGACATTTAAAATTGGCTATTTCTTTCTAACTCAGGTGGCTCGAGTATATTGAAAATCAACATGAGCACCCGGACATACAAGTGCGGATAATGAGAGTAATGTATAGGTTTAATAATGGATAAGTTTATGATAATTCTATAATAGTCTTTTAATATAACGCCTGCTGTATTATACTAGCAATGATTCATCATTCAGGAACATTGTTTTAATTAATTATAAATATTACATATTTATTATATAGTGAAGAAACATATTTAAAATTTAGTAAAGAATATACTCATAAAATAGGGTCAAGGTAACCCCCTACATGTCGTAAAAGGCGTCTACAACTGGACACTGGATTCACGAATGAACGGGATTGGATCGCGATCATGAAACGATGTATTAGTGAGGATGAGGAACATCATACCGTGGAGCATGCTCACATGCAACGCAGAAGAGGATTATTGCCTTCCAGTCAAAATCTCACAGCCTCAAAATCCTGCGGCCAGATCCTGCAATTGGCCAATGAATTTATTGTTTTTTTTTTTTAAATAGAGAAATTTTTGAAAAAAAATTGTCAAGACAAATTAAACTACACAATTTTCTCGTCATCTTAATAAGTAAAGTACGGATTGATAATGAGGAGAATCACGTACAAGCCGAAGGCATGCAGTGCACTCCCGATCTTCATAATGTCATTAACCTAGAACGTGCCAAGTTACGCCCTCTTATTAGATTGAGGTAGAAATCGCGGTTAAACTGCGTTTAAGTGTAAGGTTGATTCATTAGAATATCGTAATAATTCATATCTGTATCTTATGTAAGGTTAATTCATTAGAATATCGTAATAATTCATATCTATATTGTAAGGTTGATTCATTAGAATATCGTAATAATTCATATCTGTATCTTGTAAGGTTAATTCATTAGAATATCGTAAAAATTCATATCTATATCTTCGAGGATTCATTAAAAGTAATAATTCATATCCTTGCGTAATTAATATTTTACAGATTTTTACCATAATTTAACTCGAATGATTTATATTTGAACTGTTTTGAAATGTCATATATTAAGTGATTTTTACCTAATCGAACTGAGATTGTCTTATTTGAACGTTTAGTTTCTGGGATAAAGAACTATTGTGATTTATTTCCTTTTTTTTTTATTTAATCGACATCCTTCGAGACAAAGCCTTGCTATACAGTTTTCCCATAATTTAACTGAATGAGTTGAATTGATAATATACTTTTTACCTAATGATTGCTAGAATTGTTGTAAAATTTATCATTAGCGTGGTATATTTGTTAAACTGTAACTGTATGTTGAAATATGTTGTATTGTTTTGACACTACTTCTTGTAGAGATGGTGCTAAGTTTTTGCGTTAAAGGTATATTAATTAGTACAGATATCGTAATTATAAATACCAATATATACGTCGGCGTCGCGGGGTAGGACACTATTTCAAGTTATCGAAATAATACTGCAGCATACGATTCAAACTAAATCACTTTTATTTAAACTAACTTAATTAGTGGATCTAGGAATAATGCAGGACTTCGACGATTACAGCGGACAACTGTCGCGGAGTCCGTATGAGCATCTTCATGATTTTATTTCTAGTAGTCGATAAGTTCGACACGGTACGGTTAGTTCGACAGTATATGAAAATTAAGAAAAAAACAAATTGGCCGGTTATTTCATCTTACAATATCAATAGAAGAAATATGTAAACAGTCTAATAAATAAATCACTAGTAAAACTGTTGGAATGGGCAGTTAGACAAATAATTTAGTTATAGAACTTTGATTGAACAGGGAGTTAAACTTCTATCCAAGTTTCATTTAATTATTTCCTTTTCGAAAATTATTATATTGAAGAAAAACCAGTTAATTCATCATACTTAAATATTTTTCCATTACATAGTGAACATACGAGGATTACATTTAACCCCCTGATCATTTATAGAACTACTTCGATTTAGATTTCTTACCGACTTATTACGTTTCTAAATTTCGACAATTTACTGCTCAATACTTTTTTAAATAACCATTGCATTATATTTTATGGCTCATTTGTGCTAATTTTTGCTAACTTGTTAATAAATATGCATTTTGTAATTTTTAACAAACCAAAACTACGATATTCAACTGCCACTTTAAATCGGTGGCTCTTATAAAGGTAGAGCTAACAATATGTTTAAATAACAGGTTAACTTCAGTTTTTGATAACTTACAGCAAGTTAACAGCTAAAACGTACAATCATCTATATATTCATAATAAAACCAAGTAATTTCGCAGACGATAAGTGGAAGAACTTTAAAGACGTTCAAAGTTAAATTCGACGCAATTAAAACTTTCGAGCTTGAAGATTTGTGCCGTAATTATTTACGTGGAGATTCGAGATACAACATTTTTAATTCACATCAATAATGGGTATAACGTACCTAAGGTGATATATTTTTTTTATGTAAGATTGCAAGTAAGCTGGCGGTTCACCCGATGTTAAGTGATAACTAGTCGGGTGAGTGTGGTAGCCAGAGCGCATTTTATTAAAAGGTGGCAACGTATTAGCAACCCTACGGGTATTACAAATGTGTATGGGCGGTGGTTATCACTTAACATCAGGTGAACTGAACCGCCTGCTCGCTTGTCACCTTCTCCCAAAAAAATCTCTTAAAAAATCATTCAGTTTCAATATGAAATGTGTCTTTATCTGAAAGAAAAAAAAAGCTACGGTGGTACGGCCGCGCAGCATCCTCGGCTGTTGCATGTATGGGCAGACTCGTCTGGGTAAGTACCACGACCTCACTGAAGACTGGCAGTGGGCGTAAAGTGGAAGTATAACACTTTCGCGTTTCGTCTGGTGAGTGAGGTATCTGGAGCCCAATTTTCAAAAGGTTGTATCTGGAACCCTCGGGTGTAGCAGATGTCCATTAGCGGTGGTATTCACTTAACATCAGGTGAACCGTCTGCTCGCTCGGTAACTTTTCACATTAAAAAAATGTTGCTAAATATTTGTTTTTTGAGGAATATAGTACTATGCCACGACCTCGTGTCCTCTTTTAGCTACCTATTTCAATCAGGTTTCAAACACGAATCAGTGACTTTTCTTTGGAATGGGTACAAACCCAATTCATTTAATGAGTTTATTTTCAACACAAGCATACCAAGAACAGAATGTACGACTACGGATGATAAAATATCTAATTTTATATCGCCTACCGATAAAAGATAACACAATTTTGTGATAAAACTTAAAATATATATTTTTTTTTAATTTCTATATATTTTTTCTAAATATATTTTTTATTTCTATATATTTTTATGAGAACATTATAATTTTAAAATTAGACAAAATTAACAAGTTTGGCTACATCTTATGGCAGGCTTCATTTTACAAGTCTATCGCAAAACATGCGATAAGGGTTCATTTGGGCCTAGATCGAATAAAAAAATAACGGTTCAAAAACTGGCGGTAAACCGATAAACAATGACGTTCAGACGTACAACGCCTCAGTCTTTCTCCGTGACCATGAACGCTGTAAAGAGTTCGAAACTTAAGGAATCAAAATTAAGCGCCATTAGTTTCATTTTTAATAAATAAATAAGTATAAGTTAAAATGGGATTAAATCAAACGTCAAATCTAAAATTTTAATTTAGATGTAAGTAAAGGTACACTATTTTACCTTTGATTTTTCAAAGTGTTCTTGAGGTTGCTTTTTTTTTTTTCAAAAAATAATAGCAATCATTTATTTTAGATTTGGTTTAAAAGAATTTGAAATCACATTTTATTATAACCACCATAAGAAAATCCAAATTTCATTAAATTTATTAACAACTCCAAAAAATTATAATTTTTTGGATTCATTATATTTATATTATATAAAAATTAATTTCATAAAGTTAATTGCCATTAACTCTTTTCGGCGAGCTATAAACTTCTTTAAAAATGACAGAAATAGTGTTGGGTGGTTTAGAAAATTCTTTTAAAACTTTGAAATCGCACTTAAAAAAAATTAATTATATTTCTTACCACCTAGTAACCATAATATACCTCCCCTTGGCTTTCTTCTTGATTCTGGCTTGATTCTATACTTTAACAAAGCACAATAATGCACAGAATCAAAATGGGTATTATGAATAAAGTTAAAAATATATCGAGACATAGATATTGATACAATGGAACATATGTAGATGCAGGCCTAAATGTGATATTTTTGTATTTTGCTGCGAATTCCGTCCAATGTACTGCACTCTGCATTGCCGAGACTGGACGATCGTGCCACGCTTGCGATAGCAACTTTACGTTTGCGCGAAAACTGTAAATGATTAATTATAAAATAAGGACTTACTTTTCTAGCCTACATTTAAAAAAAACAGGCTACATTCAAACGTCTGTTATAATTTTGATACATTTTTTTTATGTTAAAAGTTGCCAAGCGAGCTGACGGTTCACCTGATGTTAAGTGAATACCGCCCCCCATAGACATCTGCTAAGCCCGAGGATTGCAGATGCGTAAACAACCTTTAGAAAATTGGGTTCCGGCCACCTCACTCACCAGATGAAACACGAAAGTATTATACTTCCACTTTACGCCGGTCTTCTGTGGGGTCGTGGTACTTACCCGGATGGGCTGGCCCATTCGTGCAACAGCCGAGGCTGCTGCGTGGTCCTAGCACCGTAGATAAAATATATACTTTCAATATATTCAATTAAGCTTTCAAACGTAACCAATACATTACATTATTTTAGACTAATTTTTGAGTCTATTGTGGAGAGAATAAATAAAAACTAATAATATATCATTATCACATATACTTTCCTATATATATTATTTATTATTTACTTTGACTATTTTTGTGATTACGTAGTTTTTAAACAATATTAAATTTAGTATTTCGTGACCTCAATTCTTTACATAATGCGACTTACTCAGGGTTTAAGACTGTCTTGAATTTTTGAAGAAGATTTTCCTTTGTGACATCGTGCATATTAATTTTTACCCCAAAACCACTTTCTTCTACGGCAGCAGCATTCACTGGTTGATCTCCGTAAATTGGCATCCCGACTATTGGTACCCCATGATATACAGCTTCTGTTACCCCCAGTAGTCCACAATGTGAGTAAAATGCAAGAACTTTTGGGTGGGCTATAAGTATTAAATTCATAATTTGTTAATTTAGTATGATAGAGAATAATTATTAGCTATGAACTTAACGCATCACCTAGTAAGTCATTCTGCGGTAGCCATTTCGACACGAATATATTTTTAGGTTTCCCAGGAAGGGATTTTGTCTCCCACTTCCATACAACTCTTTGCGGAAGATCTGCTAAAGCGTCTACAATTGCATGCAGTTTATCATTAGGTAACGAAGCTGCTTTTAGCATTGAACCAAAGCTTATGTAGATAATACCATGCTTTGATTCCTCTATAAATTTTAGTAGGTCCTGGAACAAATAAAAAGAACATTTTTTTTTACCGTTTGACTAACTATTTGTATACAGATAATATATTATTACTTGCCCCCTGTAATGGTTTTGGTTTCGCTACGTGATAGCCTCCCACTTCAATTACATGAGAGGGGAATATATTTGATCCACTTAGTATGAAATTACTATAAAGAAGTAAAAACTTAATATTTTTGGCCAGTTCTTCAAGTGGTGGCAATTCCCCTAAATATTCAGTGAGTATTTTATGTTCTACTCGCTGTGTTACATAAAAGAGGGAATTAAAAATAAAGTGAAACACTGTTCGTTCTATCCTTTGATATAAAGAAGGTTTGGTCGTTCCATCTGCAAATAAACTGGGTGCGTATGACGGGTTGTAAGAAATACCGAAGCGATTGTAGTGATGAGGCATCAAAACGTGCGATGTTAATCCGACAACGGGTGCATTAAGCTTGTACGCCAAGCCCAAGGAACAGTCACCGTTAAATTGTTCCACAACAACAACGTCAAATTTCCTTTTCAATTTCCATAAATCTTGAACATCATCGTCTTCAAGCATTTTTTCACAATTATCAATGGCGACGTACGACAACCCGAATGTTCCCAAAATAGAAAATAAGGCAGAAGTAAGTTGAATAGGTATTATACTTTCAACAACTATAGCTTTGCCTGCCAAACTAATGTCATGATAATTTTTAATGGCTTTACTCAGAGGAAAATATGAAATGACAGTAACGTTATGACCTTTTGCGGCTAATTCTTGTAAGTAGGGTTCAAAGACGGCAAAATGGCTTTTCCCTTGATATGGGAACACCCCTAAAATATCCAATGATTCCACACTATAACACTGATTTAACGCTAAAATTAATATAAAACTTTGTATTGCGTTCAATATCATTTTATGAAAACTATGAGCATACACGCGAACAAAAATATAGGCGTATTGTCCTTTAAGAATCGATTTTTAGACTATTCTACATTTGTTACAACGGTATCTATATCAAAAAATATTTTTTATCAATATGGATATAGATAGCCGCAGCGTAATCACACGGTAATGTGACAATGATTTGTTAATAATAATTTATGGATTACCAGATTTTACATGCTCTTAAAGTCCTATGACTTTAAGAGCATGCATAAACTTATATTACCTACTACAGCATACTTGGAGAAAAGCTTAGATTAAAAACCCATTACATTCCGGAAGACCTAAATACATAATAGGAGCTTTAGCTTTACTTTTGAGAAGAAATTTAAATTGAGATTGAGATTAAAAATTTGTCCGGAAGTTATATTAAAGCACCGACTGTTTCTGGCGGTGGTGAAAAGCAGTCGGTTTATCAACAGAAATAGTTCAAACCTCTCAAGCGATCTAAAGAACGATGTCAAATCATAGACGAAAATAAGAAGAAGAATAAGAAAAACGTCGTGACCACTACAATAAAATATAGTAGGTACGGTAATATAAACTAGGTATGGCAGTGATCGAACTCTCATTTTTATGATCATATATTAGTTTTAGAGTCTTATGTAAATTATAAGTATAGTCATCCTTTATAGGCGAACCTCCCTCATTTTTAATTAAAGATAAAATTAAAGTTTGTGGAAAAAAATATGAAACATTTTTGCCGCTGTGGTAATCGAACCCACCATCTTTGGGATTCGCACCCGTTTTTTTTTTTTTTTTTTTTTTTTTTGTTTACGTGGGGGAAATGCCTACGCACCGATTAAAACCCCCGCGATGTTTCACCTAGGCGCATATCGGCAGGGCCACGGGAACGCTTTCGCACACTTCCGCGACCCTGTCAACGCTGGCCGCCTCAGCAGCTGCCTCCCGGGGAACAACTCTCAGGCGCGCTCAATTTTCAAGGCCAACGAACTCCCCCGAGTTCGCTAACCGGGGCCATGGGAGTCAGGAGAGCCAGTGCTAATAAGCATCAAGCCTCCCAGCCCCCAGCGGCAGTCTGTGGCTCCGCCGCCCACCACGTCTCGGCCGCGGAGGGTAGCGAGAACGGCGCATCGCAATACCATACTCCTCCTGCCCCGTGACTCCTCCTCGGTAGCAGAAGACGGTAGCAGAAGACAGGGAGAGTGTCTCTAACTCTACTACCCTCGACCTGGCACCTGCACCCTCCAGCACGCATCCAGAGTGGGTTCAATGATCCCACTCAGAGCGGCCCTCTCGGGCCGGCCTTACACCACAGGTCGGCCCTCTTAGCTTCGCTGTGGGTGACCAAGCCACGGCTTCTAAGCCCCTCCGCCACGTCAAGGCGGGAACCCGGTCATGGTCAGGAGGGGATTCGCACCCTGACTTAGCCACTAAATTAAATGGCTGATTGACACATAGACGAAAATCTCAACGTATTTTATCTGCATTGTTTTTTAAAGTTTGATGCAATGCTTGGCACATCCTAGCATACATACAATTTCGAACATGTTTTACGACGATAATTCGAACGACAGATGTCGCCATTGTTTTTTATAAATTTAAAATTTGAAAGTACTGTTCTGCACCTTAAAAAAAACGTACTTTTTTTTGGCAAATTTTAATGTTTAATCTTAAGTCCAGAGATAAGAACTTTAAAAAATTAAATTTATAAATATAAACTGTCAATTAGAGAAGTAGTTTCATAATAATAAAAGACACAAAGAAAGTATTAAATATTTGGCCATGGCATGTTTTTCTAAATAAAAAGAAACAGATTCTGTTTTCTTTCATCCAAAAGTGTAAACATGAGAGAAGGTGTGAAGTGAAGTTTAAACTGGGTCACGAAAATGGATTTTGACTTAAAAACCAACGAAGTAAAATATTAAAAACATTCTATGAGTAATCTCCTCAAAAGAACCTTGGCCTTATTTAACTCGCCAATAAATGAAGTCCATTAAATCACGTAGTTATTCTCAATAATAATATAGTAAATAATTTAAAAAATATTTTAAATACATTAATATAATTAGAAGGGTTATACAATGGGTGGCTATATTAATTTACTTCCAGGCAACCAATGGTAAACACAGTATGTAAAGATAATTCACTGATTACTACACTTTTCTGATGTACCCTCATAATCGTCTTAATAGTTAATTAATGAACACACATTCACACATTCATAACTATTGATATGTTCTGTTGAAGTATTGAAAATATTTACACAATAACATGTTTTTATAAGACTATTCCTGGTTAAACACATAAAAAATATTTTAATAAACCTATTTATGTGATTAGCCTCAATACATTAAAAATGTAAAGTCAATTTATATACATAAGTAAATATATATGTAAATTAATTTGTAAGAGTACAACTAGCTCCTGTACGTGATATAATTAAGGCTGGATGTGTAATCGTCGGACTACGGGATCTCCATCTGTTGTCTCCCACGGATCTTAAACCTTAATCCCGTCCATAATCAAAATGAATCTCGATGGAGCCCCTGGTACACTTAGTTAATAATTCGAGTTTGTTAAAATTTGCAGGATTGTTTACCATCTATATACTTACATTATGTACAATACAATTCGTAGTATGTATATTTGAAAGGTTTACCAAATATTTAGTTAAACAATCCAATTTTAAACAATTTTCTCGATCTTGTAGTAATGAGAAATCATTTTATTAAGTGTTATGAAATAAAATGTAAATTCGAACAAGAAGCTTGCCTCTCGCCTTCATCATGCTTAGACCTGGACCGAAGTAATTAAATGAAACGGAATTTAATTATTCGAAAACAAGATTGAAACAAAATTGCCATCCTATAGCGTGCAAAACAAAAGAAACCTATCGCACTTATAACAAGTTCAATAGCAAATTCTTCGGGAATAACCTATTACCATTATTACTCATTTCTCTTGGGTCGTACGGCATTTTGTTGTGGGGTAGTGCATCTGATATAAATTCTATATTTATTCTTCAAAAAAGAGCTGTCCGAGCAATCTATAACATCGGAGCCCGGAATTCACTCGGAGACCTTTTTAAAGAGATTTATATACTCATTGTTGCGTCTCAATATATTTATTGTAATATTTTGTATGTTAAACATAATATTAATAATTATCTAAAGAATACTGACAGATATAAACTAAATACTAGGAATAAGGACAAACTTACTACGCCATTGTTTCGTCTACAAAAAGTAAACAGGTCGTTCATGAGGCAAAATGTGCGCATCTATAAAAAAATTGCAGAGTCAATATTAAGCCTGCTATTTGAGGAATTTAAACGAAAAGTTAAAAGTAAGCTTATGGCTAAAGCATTTTATACTATTGCTAAATATCTTGACGACGCCAATGTGTGGGGTTAATACTGTTGACACTCGTACGTTAAAACAAGACTATTATACCTGTAACATTATATTGTAAACTGACCTTTGAAAAAAGAGCAACTGTTGAGTTTCTTGCTGGTTTCTTCTCAACAGAAACTGTTTTCCGAACCGGTGGTAACTTACGAACATATTAATTTCCTTGTAAAATTTCGACGTTTCATAAGAACGCGCAAGCGTCTGTGAATAAAGATATTTTATTATTATGTTGGGGATATTTATTTGTTTTCTCGTCTGGTTGGGTTTATAGATAAAAAATAAACATATAGATATATATTGCGTATATAAAATAAATATTATGAATAAAAATAAACATATTATTATTATTAAAAACATCTGCATTCAGTTTTCAAGTCGTGATTATTTGGGTATTGCCTGACTATAAGGATAAAATTATTTTTTCTATTGCTGTAGCTAAACTTAAAACGATTATAATTAATAATAGTCGTCAGTTATTAATCAACACCGCTATTTTAATAACATTCTGGACGTATTCGTTTTCAAACATAACAGTATTTATTTTTTATATGACGTCAAAATTTCACTATTCCCAGGGTTGACTGGAAGAGAATACTTATTTGCATTAAGTTTGCCTTTTGTTTGGCCTTATGTTGGGGTGTAAACACTAAATTTTTAAATAAATAAATATATCAGTTCAATACATTAAAAACTACATAATAATTTTACATCATACTAAGATTATTTTTTTATTTTATTTATTAAATAAAAAGATTGAAACAGAAAGGAGACTTAACTTTAAGAAGACTTTTCCGAAACATGACTTCTATCTATATCATTCAATTTTTTTTTTTGCAGAAAAAACTTTTTCAATGTCAAAAATAAATTGGTTTTGGGATTTTTAATAGTCTTCCATGATAGCTATTAACTTTGTAGAATATATTGGTAATACGCAAAATTATCTTTTAAAGACTAATAAAAAACATCTACATAACGTGAGCAAGTTTTTGGATAAAATTAGAAGTTTTAGGTGTTCGAGTTGTGAGTATTCGTCAACACATAAATCGTGTACGACTTGCGAAATTACATCAAACATAAATAACCCTCCATCACTAGCAACATGAAAGCTCAGTTTACATGCATTTTGTCAGCGACAATGAAGGGGCAAAGAGGCACACCAGGTGTTTACTACTTTAATTACGTAACCCATTAATTCACGTCAGAAAGCAGGGGCCGTGGACAGAGACAGATTGGACTGTTGTTCCCAATATTTTACTA